TCTCCTTCAAATGTCGGTTCTCCACTGCCTCCTAGATTGTATCTACGCCGTTCTTTAAGTCAGTTTGTTCCAAGGGCTTTACAATATATGTATTGCAAGTATGCTCTTTTATGCTTTCTCCACTCCTATGAGCTCCACATAAGCTTTAGTTGTAGCAAGAGAAAGGCATAACATCACTTTTGCCATGGTGAGGATCCACAAATACCACATATATTGAGAGATTTGAGAGTGTCATACAATGGAAGCTCAAAGTTTTATTTTGAAAACCTGTAAAAACTCTAGAATAATGGTTGAACGAAGAATTTGAGACATAGTGCTTGACTTAATCGTTTTGTCTTTGAATTGCTCAAGACCCAAGTGAAGGCTAAGAAGCCCCATGGTTGAAGGTAATATGGGTGAGTTTGAAAGTCAGATCTGTTCATTCTAATCCGGAGGAGAATTCTTGTTTGAACGCATGTGTACTTTTGAGGAGTTGTGTCGATATTTTTAAAATCCTTAAACTCCTGATTTATTTACTAAATTTAGCTTTCCTAAGGGACTAGCAAAGGGGAAGCTTGGGGGAGTTTGTTGATGGTAGTTAACTACCATTATAAACCGTCAAAATAACATGTATAAGGGCATAAATATAATCAACAATGAAGGTTTAGGGTTTTAAACTAACAAATTCAATGAGTTTTGGTGAATCTAAACTTTCTGCAGGGTTTATCCAGAAAACCGTCGAGGTGGACCTACATGTCAGATTTAATCGCCCTTATCCACAACGAAATGGACACTAGAAGACTCTAGAAGACTCGAGAGGACTCCGCGCCAAGGCAGAGGGGCAGAGGCTGCCATGTGGGGCCGACTAGCCCCACCTATAAGCCGCCTAGTCCCATGGGCCTACCTTTGAGCCTCTCCTTCAAATGTCGGTTCTCCACTGCCTCCTAGGTTGCATCTACGCCGTTCTTTAAGTCAGTTTGTTCCAAGAGCTTTACAATATATGTATTGCAAGTATGCTCTTTTATGCTTTCTCCACTCCTATGAGCTCCACATACGCTTTAGTTGTAGCAAGAGAAAGGCATAACATCACTTTTGCCATGGTGAGGATCCACAAATACCACATATATTGAGAGATTTGAGAGTGTCATACAATGGAAGCTCGAAGTTTTATTTTGAAAACCTGTAAAAACTCTAGAATAATGGTTGAATGAAGAATTTGAGACATAGTGCTTGACTTAATCGTTTTGTCTTTGAATTGCTCAAGACCCAAGTGAAGGCTAAGAAGCCCCATGGTTGAAGGTAATATGGGTGAGTTTGAAAGTCAGATCTGTTCATTCTAATCCGGAGGAGAATTCTTGTTTGAACGCATGTGTACTTTTGAGGAGTTGTGTCGATATTTTTAAAATCCTTAAACTCCTGATTTATTTACTAAATTTAGCTTTCCTAAGGGATTAGCAAAGGGGAAGCTTGGGGGAGTTTGTTGATGGTAGTTAACAACCATTATAAACTATCAAAATAGCATGTATAAGGGCATAAATATAATCACCAACGAATGTTTAGGGGTTTAAACTAACAAATTCAATGAGTTTTGGTGAATCTGAATTTTCTGCAGGGTTTATCCAGAAAACCATCGAGGTGGACCTACATGTCAGATTTAATCGCCCTTATCCACAGCAAAACGGACACTAGAAGACTCTAGAAGACTCGAGAGGACTCCACGCTAAGGCAGAGGGGCAGAGGCTACCATGTGGGGCTGGCCAGCCCCACCTGTACGCCGCCTGGCCCCCTAGGCCTACCTATCAGCCTCTCCTTCAAATGTCGGTTCTCCACTGCCTCCTAGGTTGCATCTACGCCGTTCTTTATGTTAGTTTGTTCCAAGGGCTCACGTTGGAGGCTCCAGGCTATATATACCTGCCCCTACCACCCCCAGGCATAATCATAAGTCATTTGAGAAGATAGAAACTCTAATCATCCTCAAAGCTCCACCATATTATAGGGCATAGCTAGTTAGGCTAGGTCTAGAGGGAGGCAACCAGGCTTCGCTTAGATTCCCAATCGTGTCAAGAACGTGGTTTGGTATAATCTTTGTACCCCTCTCTTTTGTACCTCCATTATTTTTTATATGGTAAATACAATTGTTATGATAATATTAGTATTCATCTTATTCATGTTCTTCGTTATAATATTCATCGTCTACTTTCATTATATTCTTAGTATAGTTAGATTATCATCATGTTTATGCATAAGTTCATATAGCGCTCACTCTAAGGTACCATAGGTGAGTGGTCGACATTATGTAAGTGTGGTGCTTATATGTTGTTTACCTGCGGATACACCTATATTCTGGGTCATGTGGTGGATCGCGGATATGACACTCTCGTTCAGTCTTTTGTAGTCCACTCCCCGAATATAGGCGCATGTAGGGTCCGGTTACGAAGGAAGAACAAGCTCTGTTCTTAATCTTCCTTAATATCCCTTATGTGTAGATATGAAGATGATCTTAGCAATGACTACTAGGTATAATTTCATTAATCAATATATGCTTTGACTTATAATTAAGAATGACTTAGGAATTATTCCTCTAATATTCTATATGACCATGCTAATGCCATAGAAAGGAGTACTCTGAGTGATTTATCATTATCATTGATCAGTACTTATCATATATCTTATCCTATGACTTATCCCTGTTATGAGTAGAACATTGGTTATGGTTTATTTCTCCATCAATAATATAAGTTATCAATACATGTTCGTGCTAGACCTTCCCTATGATAAAAATATAAGGAACGATACCTGGAATACTCTCGTGTAAAGTGCTACAATGGTATAATTATCTGTGCCCTTACAGATTTCTTTCATATATATATATATATATATATATATATATATATATATATATATATATATATATATATATATATATATATATATATATATATATATATATATATATTCTTCCTAGTCACATAATTTAATAAAGAACTGCTTAGTATTATTCTAGTAGTAATGCTATAGTACCAACAAGCATCTCTGGCATCATCACTAGGGATGTCAACCTAGTAAAATAATGTTAAGAGATATAGGTTTATAATAGGTGGCCATTAAAACAAGTGACAAGATAATAAGTACCAACAAGCATTTTTGGCCCTGACGCTGGGGACTAGATTTAAAACTCTGTTTTTAGTAGCAACGCTAAGAAATGTCAACAACAGACCGAGCGGCCCACGACACATTAGCTAACAAAGGCCCGAACGATCGAGGCCCAGCTAAGCCGAGTAGAATAGGCCTGACGCCAAGGCCAGGGTCGGCCATGACTCCTTCATCAGACTTAGCCACACGACGCGCAAGAGACTCACGACCTCCCCACCACTCCGACCCCTAGGAGGAACGGGGAGGGGTCGAGCCTGACCAAGCGTGCTTGCTCTGACAAGAGTAGACACGCCGCACTGACCCCGCAAGGATGGAGGGCACAGTGGCCACCTCGGTCCGGTCAGATGCCATCCCTACGCCACGTAGCACGGACAAGATAACACCGCATGGCGGTAGCTATAAGTACAACAACCCACCATCCAAATACGAACCAGCATGACGCATGTACGATTCTCCCCACTATAGGATGGGATCCACAATAGAGGCCTTGGCTTAGAGGCCACCCAGACCGACGGGAGCCACAACCCTAATGATAGGGATCATGGCCATTAGCTCCCCAAGCCAACAGGGCGATCGACGACCCAGGGGTAGCCACCAACCCCTGTACGACGCCCTAGAAAACCAGGAGGCGATGACGAAGATCACGGCGGAGACCAAGTAGCGCAGGACTGCTGGCGAACCATCACCGTGCCTACAGTGCCACCACGACCGAGATAGTAGCACTACGTCACACCATGCTACGACGTGGCCACAGAACCGTGACGACAACCACGCTCAGACGTGCACCACAAGACGACGTAGCTTGCAAGCCAAGTTAGCCGGGTCCTCCCTTAGGCTCACGACCCTTCAGTCGGGAGAATCTTCTTCTTTGTACACGTCCTAGCCCCGAACTCTATATAAGGCAGCCAGGGCACCAATCTTAGAGATCTGACTCTCATTCACTCATTCTTACACCGTAGAAGGGCTCCTGAAACTTTTCTTCGGGCAGCCCGTCTCCTATCTCTAACTCTCCTACCTCTTTCACCATTCTTGCACCCCCTATTGTTAGAACTTCAGAGCATTCAAGTGAGGAACACGCACTCGATCATCTCGGAGACCGGACGTAGGGCTCCGGTCTGAACCAGTATAAATGCTCATGTTTTTGGATGTTACCATCGACTTCCTAAAATAACGCGACAATCGTATAAATTTACTAGTGCGGTAAAAAAAATGACAAGGAGAGACAAACTGAGCAGCCACACGCGCCCAAAGTCACAAGTCACGTTCAAGAAAAAAAAGTTCCCTCGTTAAACGGCTTGATTTCATCGGCCGCCCATTTGGCATCCAGAGCCATGCATGGTACAACCTGTTGCCCTGTCGTAGCCAAGCCGATGCGATATGGAGTAGATGGCAGCCGGTCGACTGGTCGAGGCAGCACGCGCACTATGCCGACGGCTCGCCGGATTGCCGGCTCCGGTCCCCAGGCCCCAGCCGCGCGCACGCACGTGCAGTGGAGGGCTCGTTGGCGTGCACACCTCCCACTTCCGCCACGCATGTCGCATGTGCCCGTACCCGCGCCCGTGCCTGTGGACAGGAACCGAGAAGGTGGCCATCTGCCCGTGCCTGGTTCTCCATCTGCGCGCACCTGCGCCCGAGATAAAACAAATCCTTCACTCCCTCGAGATCCCCACTCCACTCTCCTCATATACTCCTCCTCACTGGCTCACTCCGCCAACTCGCCGCTCACTACCTTTGCTAGCAAGTGAGCACATACAGGGCTTTGCATGTGCACTACTCCGACTCCGAGAGAGAGATATAGAGAGGGGGGGAGAGAGAGAGCAGGAGCAGAGGGTCGTCGTCATCCTCGACGTCGATCGATTCATCGAACGATGGAGAGAGACTTGGTGATGCCGTCGTGGGTGATGGAGGTGGCGGCGTACGGCGGTGCAATGGAGAGCTCGCCATCACGCAGTCGCAGCAGCAGCGGGTGCCAGTCCGGCTGGACGCTCTACCTGGACCACTCCAATGGGAATGGGATGCGATACCTCCCCTGCGACGACCCCGCCGCCCAGAGGTGGATGATGCTGCAGGAGGACGACGACGTGGAGGACTCCATGGCCTCCGACGCGTCCTCCGGGCCGCGCCTGCTCGACCAAGAGGACGACACGCGTCGAGACTTCGAGCAGCGCCCGCAAGGATACATCGGCCAGCACAGCTACTCCAGCAGTGTTCACTATTGCAGTGCGAGTAGTGATGGCTCCGGCGGCTTCGGTTCTTCGACGTGGTCCAGCTCCCGCAGCTCGCCGGGCGGGGTGAAGGGCCACGTCGGGAGGAGGGGCGTCGTCGTCCACGGCGGTGAGGCGACGACGCGCCAGTACCGCGAAATCGTCATCGACGAGGAGGACGAACTCGACGACACGGCGAGCTCGCCGTCTGCCGTTTTCTGCAATCCCGTGGCCATGGTGCACGTTAATTTCTCCAGCTGCAGAAAGCACCAGCGCAGCTCGCACGAGTTACGCAATATATAGCTAGGCCATGCATGTAATGCAACTCTGTTGAAAGATGTTGTGGGCTCTGCATCTGTTCTGTAACACAGGCTAGCTAGTTTTCTTCCTTACATGCATGTTCAGTGTGTACGTACAAGAAATCTTTGATAGAGTAGTACGAAGTAGTCTCTGAACTCTGAACACGTAAGGCACAAATCGGTTTCATCCCCTCAGTAACTCGATTGATCTGGTATTTATTTGCTACTCATCAGATCTAGTTGTACTTTTTCAACGGAACTGAGAGTTTTTGTAGGTCGCAATCAGCATCGAAATCGATCATGTGTGTAGCAGTTAAAAAAAAAGACCCCACTTCCATGTCAAAAACTCCCCCATTCCCATAAACATGCGTGTGTATATGTCACTGTCATGCCTTTGTTGTTCTGTAGTCAGGTAGGGTTGCTTTTTCTTTTCCTAATTTTCTTTTCTCCATTTTATAAACTCAGTACTGTTTGGATTATATATGACTGTATCATGAAATGGATACGATTCCTCGCAAAAAAAAAGAAAGAAATGATTATTGTAATGACCCGAAAACCATTACAATGTAGGCAGTCATTTCTGATCATCCTATTGTGCATGTCATAATCGCAATTAGAATCTGACTTGTGCCAATGCCAACCCAAAACCGAGCACTGCCGGTTTTGCCGGATTGTCCGACATCACCACCGGACCGTCCACCAAGACATCTCACAGACTTAGGATAATCTTGGCCAACCCGTACACTGACGAAGTGTCCGCCATCACGGCGGAGTGTCCGTAGAAATCCATGCACAAACGGTCTATTTGTCAGGCATGCCACCGGACTGTTGGACGGTCCGATAAAACATAGCGACACCTGTCCCATGCATTTGTTGTGTTCCCGGCTCCAGGTCCACATGTCACCACCTCACCCACACCAACACACCAGCCCTCCCTCTCTCTCCCTCCCCATTTCTCATTCACGTGAGCCCGGAAACAAGAGAAGGAAAGAAAGGAGAGAAGGAGAGGAAGAAGGGAGAAGAAGAGAAGGAGAAGAGGAAAGAGGGGGACGTCCCCAGCTGCTAGTGCATGCCGGCGACGAGCTGCTGCAGCTCCCCCACGCCCTCGACGTCTCTGGAGTTGGAGGAGATGGAGCCCCAAGCACCATCTTCTTCCTCAAGCCATGGAGCAAGCCCGTCGATATCCCACCACAAGGCGTTCCAGTCCGAATTGCTGTAGATGGAGCTTCCCCAAGACATGGTGAGCACATCCCCAAAGCCTAACTTCATCTTCCCTAACCACCCATGGCCATACCTATGAGCTTCACCTTCATCCATGGCCACCACCACCATGGATGGGGTCAAGCTCACCACAGCCCATGCATGTCACATCCATTACCTGTAGAAGCTTTCTTACATCACTAGAAAGCCATAGAAACAAACCGCACTCGATTCGAAGTCTGGATGCCCCGGGAATTGATCCCAACATGTTTGCACAACTGTCGTTTGTCTTTTATCGAATGTGCCGTCAATTTGGCGGAGTGTCCGTTGAATTATAGCCAAAACCTGAGAGCAGCCTAGGATTATCGGAAGGTTCCGTTGTTAGTTTGGAGTGTCTTATAATCTCTGCACATGCACACAACCTACACTTGTAAAATTCATAGAAGGTGCATTTGACCTCTAAAAATGGTGAAACGAGTTTCATTGTGCTCCATAGAATATCCTCTATCATCTAGACATAACTTTGGCACCAAAGGGCATATCTCATTTTTGACCACCGGAAGAGCCTAAGCCCTTATAATTTACCGGAGGCTCCGCCGCACGTGCCAGAGTGTCAGATAAGTTATAAATCACTGACTGAGGAGTTTCCCGAGAGCACGAACTTCATACCGGAGAGTCCAATCTTAGTTCGGAGAGTCCGATGTTCCCAATATATCCTTTTCCCACTAAGTCCCAGAACCACCGGACTATCCGACATTCACGTTGGACTACCCGATGATACAAACCGACAACCCTTCAACATATACCTGAACACTCCCTCTTAAATGTTTAATATAATGTCATGCATACATAAGTATCTCATACATGGACATATATATAGGTACGTGATATCGGAGAGACGCCTAGCGATGTTCCAAGCTATGGGATCCTTGCTCATCCAACAGGCAGGCACCCCGCTATTATGAACCCTACTTTAGATACTTATTAAGTCACATTATGAGTTATGCATTACATATAGTCTTGGATAATGATCTCTTCATACTACACCTAGAGTAGCTTAATAATATGTTAGAAGCCTCTCGCCTTAACAATGGGAATAGAAACGCTTAATGCTTATTGCTTAGTTGCTTGGGCAACGGTAGAAGTCAAGCATGAAAAGGGAACTCATACTCGCGCATGTAGGATGCTACACCTAGATAATGAACTACTAAAACCAATGAGGGTATAACTTGACCCACCTTACTAATCTACCTAAGGAATAATATCCCTAATATGGTAATCTTGATGATAACTTGGATATCTTGCTCAAGCAAGGGGTAGGTCGCCGTGAGTGTGGGATCTCAGACGACATAGCTCATGGAGCACTAAGGACCGTGTATTGGGATACATAAGTTTGAGTAACCACCCGTATAGACCACATGTCGTGGATGGGGATGACAAGCCAAGTAACTAATTATGACCTATCTATCTATGAAACTGGCAAGGGGGATGGCCCTGGGAAGATGGTGTACGTAATGAACCGGGGACCCGTTACAGTACAGAAGCCTGACTCGAGGAACTAGGAAGATGGTGGAAACCTGACCTGGGCATCCAGTCGAACCTTTCATGTGAGATTCGGGCCGCTTTAGGGAAAGGTTGGAAGACGTGAGGCAACCCTTACTCTTGTGCACGAGGTATGGTGGTTAGTCCTGTCCTTCCGTGTGGGTACAGTTGTACACCTATGCAAAGTCTTGAAAGCCTGAAGTCCCACGGGACAGAATCATTCCATTGTTCCTACTTTCTATACCCATGGTAGCGTTGTTAATGGATGATGGACTATGAGCATCTTGGTTGCAATGGTAAATACTTTAATTCTAAAGTCAAGCATAGCATGTCATACTCTTAATGAACATCATTGCTTTCCGCACTTATACAAATGCCTGATAATTACCATATGCATCCATCAAATACTATATGTTAGAATTGTTGACACAAAAATATGACGATGTGATCAACACACAGCAAGCCATATGATCTTAACGGAGTGAACCCGAAGATCTGCTTAGCTTCAATGCAAGAACGGTCGGTTTCGGGACCAAAGGCGTGCTAGTCAATTTGACCCTACAATTAACAAAGAGAGAATAATCAGTAGTTTAAGGTGGAATATGTCGGTGTTACACCAGACAGTTCCAATATGTGGCCAAATAGCCGACTGATATGGCCATCGACTACAGAGTCGACATCCAGCAATAAAGCAATATAAGAAAACATCATCGGCTAAATGGAACATGATCAGTATAAAACGTTAAGCCGATAAGTTTTATGAAAAGTGTATAACACGCGAACAATCGACTGTTTACCATAAATGAATCCATAAACAATCTAAATCTAGTCTATTATCATCAACAGTGAGGTTCGATCGGATCGATGCAGCTATGATAATGATAACAAACTAAAGCCAAAGAATCTATAAAACTATCTATATGTCAACAGATTTATGAAAATATGCTATATGTGTGAGAGCATAGGCAATCGGCTAAAATAGTCAATGCAAGCATAGCAAACAAACAAAGTACATATCTCGATTATGAACAAAACCACTAATCAATAATTTCTAATATAAAGTCTTACCAATGAGGTTCGACCGGATCGATACAGCTATGGTAGTGTCATTGGATTAGATCTCATTAACTAGTGAGTTTATTCAAGATTGAAATATGTCTTTGAATGCATACTATATTTGATTGGGATAGAGATAAAACAGCCGATCTAGCGGAATTAAGTCATCAATTATGAGATTTAAAGCGTGATCAAATCAAAGGACGACCAATTAAGATGATATGATGCCGATCTATCTCTATATCAATCAGGTGATTTATTATAACTAATAAAACATTAATTATAACAAGATCGATAACTAGTGAATCAACCAAAAACAGCAAGAAAAATCTTACTAATCTGAGAAGATTCGATAACCGGTGATATTATATTAAACAACAAGTTATTTAACACAAGATCGATAACTTTGATTTATATTACGATTCATAAGAGATCAATCAGCTGATGTAGCCTTACAAACTACAATACAGATCGATAACTAACTTATATTATGACTCATAAAAGATCAATCAGTTGATGAGCTTTACAAGCACAGTACAAGTCGTGATAGTACTCACAAGTAAGCTGGAGGTCGATCAGTCGATGCAGCTCTGTTTGCTGAAGAACTCGCCGAAAAGCTACATTACTCCTACTCCTAAGGGTTGGCATGAAACCGAAAAAGTAAAGATTGATTTTGATTGATGTGTGGATATATCCTTTTACAATAGCCAGAGGTACATATTTATACCCTAGACTGAGCACCCCTGATAACCTCCATACGTGACTTGCCTAAGAAAACGATAGGAAATACAAAATACATGGACTCTAATTCCCTTATTTAAAGCCCTCGCTAATGAAGCCTTCTTGACCGACGTCTTTTCTTGCCATATCCCTGCATCTACTGTGTACGCGTATTTGTACAATATGCCTACCGATCTCCACTAGAACAATGCATGCATCACGTGTAAATCTTGGGCTTGCCGTGCAATCTAGCCAAACAACAGAGTCCAAGTCTGATACCTCTCCGTGCTCCTTTGCTCTGCCCTCTCCACGATATATGCCTGGGTGTCATGCTCTTCCTAAATAAATAATATTTCTTTTCCTTCCCATATGCATTCATCTGGGGATATTTTCATGCACATACACCTCACGCTTATCCGTTTATGGCAACCACCAAGAGTCCGAGGCCATCAGAGATTGCACGCATGCGTTTGATGCCAGATTAAT